CATTTTGTTGTTTTTATTTGAATTTTTATTTATTTTTAAATTTTAGAACTGTTTTGGGTTCACAAAATCTATTGCATAGATAATACAGAGAGTCCCTATACATCTCTCCCCAAGTTTCTACTATTATCATCTTACATTAGTATGGTTCACATGTCATAATTAATAAACAGATATTGATACTTTATTAGTAACTAAACCCTTACTCTATTCAAGTTTTCTCCCTTTTTCCTTCAAGTCCTTTTTCTGTCCTCAGATCCCATCCAAGATAACACGTTACATTTTGTGGTCGCGTGTCTCCTTAGACTCTTCTTGGTTGTGCTCATTTCTTAGACTTTCTCTGTGTTTAATGACCACAGAAGTTTTGAGAACTATTTAGTTCATCATCCCTTAATTGAGATTTGTATGATATTTTTCTTATGGTTCAACTGAGATAGTGTGTTTTTAGGAGGAAAACCATAGGGGTAAAATTTTATTTTCATCCCATTCTATCAAAGGAACATCTTATCGACAGGAATTATTGCTGTGGATGTTGACTTTGATCACGTGGCTTTAGGTAGTATTTGTCAGGTTTTCCCATTGTAAAGTGAGTTAATTCTTTTTTGCTTTGCCGTTCCATATTGAACTCTTTGGAAGAAATTCATTACACATAGACCATTCTTAAGAAGAAGGAAGTTATTAACCACTTCCTTAAGGAAGAGTGTCTACATAAATATTTGCCCTCCTTCTGCATGGCATATTAGTTTGTATATTGAGTATTTATTTATTCAATCATTTTTATCAGAAGGAACTCATAAATATTTATTTTATACTTTGGGTAGTAACCCAATGCTACCTTATTTGTTTTTCTTGCTCAAATTTTTCTAGACTTGGCCACTGAGATATTTTTTTTGATTTGGCTCCTTTATCCCTTTGATATATCATCATTTGTGTGTGTGTGTGTGTGTGTGTGTTTCTTTCTGGCACATCCAGATGCTCTAGACATCTTGTATATTTCTTGCCTCAGTCCAAGAATCAGTCAAGAGTATGGCTCTTTTATTGAAAAATGGTATCACAAATTAAGACCTGGATGGTAGTTGTGTTCATTGCTATTGGAGTGTCATTGTGTTTAAGTCCTCTCAACTGCCAGAGCAGGCAGATATATGTGTGATTACTAACCCATGTATATATAAATATCTATTAGTATTTCTGTTTGTAGCCATTTGTATATATGGTAAGCTAAATATAAATTTATACTGATGTCTTCACTCTAATACATTATACTTGGATTATTCTAGCCTTGCTTATTTGTAAACTCCCATTCCAACTATCTGTATATCTATATATCTATACTGATATCTATCTGTCTATCTAGATATGTGGTTTTTAGAATTATTAACCTGTATGCCCATAGGAAACAAGTTTATCAGCTATAGCACAGTTCTTGTGTACAGTTTCTTTTGCTTTTAGTCTTACAGACTCCTCTTAATGTCAGTTATTCAGGTTAGCACCTTATTTCCACACCCCATCCAGTGAAGTTGTTTCATACATTTATAATGTATTTAGATTACTTTTACATATTTTGCACCTCACCTTGGGATCCCCCAATATCCTAATTTATTCTTTTTTTTCATTTGTATGCATTTGTAACAGGGCGCAGCCAGGAGGGGGCCCCCCAAAAAAGGATTTGGGATGGGGCCCAGAGCTCAGGGTGTCCAGGAAATATTAAGATGTCCTCACCCCCCCCCAGGGGGAAGGGACAAATGGAGCCAGGGCCATTGAGAGCTGTTTTGCATAGCAACAGTTTTGCAGCTAACCTCTAGAATGGTCAGTTAACATATGTATAACCTTTGACTGGTTTCATAGATATGTTAAATAGCTGTGGCCATGCTTTGAGCCAGGGAGAAGGGAGTGGCTTCTACCCAGGATGTAACTGGGAGCTGGTCCCCTGAGTTACAGTGCCAGCGTGAGAGCTTGGAGTTGATTGGCTCCATGTCATGGGGCCACACCTGCCCAGACTAATGATGGCAGCCCAGTAAAGCTGGGAGAGTATGAGAGTCCTGGCAGGTGTAACTGATTGTAGGAGAAGTCGGAAATGGGGATGCAAAGGAGGATAGGTGCAGAGATTTAAACCCAGACTGGGCAGCCATTGGAGGGGGGAGCCACATGGTTTCAGCAGAGTTAAGACCTCCTCTTGCTGAGGTGAAGAGGAGGGAAAACCATGCGGTTTTGGCCAGAGTGCAGACCCCGGTAGCCAGATGAAAGGGAGAGCCACATGGTTTCAGCAGAGTGAAAGAGCACCACTCGGCTTTGCCAGAATGGGGACCTCTGCAGCCAGGTGAAGAAGAAAGCCACATGCTTTTGGTCAGAGTGCTGACTCCTGCAGCTTTGGTAGAAGAGGCCCACAGGGCTTTGGGATGCTTCCTTTGGCCACGTGGCCTAAGAAGCAGGAGAGACTTTGCCTAGAATTTGGTACAAAGAACTCTTGCTAGTGGACTGTGAGAGGGTACCACATGACTTTGGATTAACTCGAGATCCTGCCTGACGGCCAACACAGCTGATGATATCAGTGGCTTGGAAAAAATGGATGTGTGCTCTTTTCCTGATTTACGGTACCCGGAGTTGGGACAGTGGAGAAGGGAGAGCTGTGTGCATGTGTAGGTGTATACCCTAAAGGACTTTGATATTTTAATGGAGGTGTTAGGCCTGAATAGCATTAAACATTTCGTTTCCTTTTCACAAATCTCTGGCATTGAGAGATGTCTTTTCAATTGACGGCAGACAGAAGAGCCCGGTAGATATTAGTATACCATCCTTGGAAGGGGCCCCTGTTGTTCTGTAGCAGTATTTTTGGCATCCTTGGGTGGGCCGAGTATTGCCCCGCCTCGGACCTCTTTTTCGGTAACACATTGACATGTACTTTGTGGTATGAAGTTCTATGGGTTTTGACAAATGCTTACTGTCTTATATTCACCATTATAATAGCATATGGAATAGTTTCACATCCCTAAAATATTCCCTGTGCTTTACCTATCAACTCCCGAAACCCTCCAAAACTGGAAAATTATGCCATTTTGAAACACTGCATTGGGACTAAACCTTTGCAGAGGTAACCATGCACAATCAAGGGACAGCAGAGAGGATGTTTCTCTCACAAAGGAATTGATTGACTGATTTTAGAGAAAAGAGGGAAGGAAAGAGAAAAGCAGAGAGAGAGAAACATTGATTTCTTGTCCCACTTACTGATGAATGCATTGGTTCATTCTTGTGCACGCCCTGACTGGATATAGAACCAGCAACCTTGGTGCATCAGGACAACACTCCAACCAACTGAGTACCTGGCCAGGGCCATACAGAAAATTTTTTAAAGTGAACATACACTGTTTGCTGATGTCATGTTTCTTAGAGATCAGGGGTTGTGAACCTTCATTTTTTATTTCATTTTCCAGTTACTGTTGGCATACAGCATTATATTAGTTGCAGGTACACAGAGTAGTAGTAGACATTTATATAACTTGCAAAGTGATCACCCCAATGCCTCTAATACCCATTTGATTGTTAGCATTTATTTTTGTCTTACTGGTATTTGTCTAAGCAAAATGAAGCAAACTATCTCAAATTGAAGGAAAAGATCATTAAAAAGCTGGGAAGATAGGATGAATTTCAGAGAACAAAAAGAGTGGAATAAAAGATCACATTGACTTTGTGGTTTTAATTTTCAAAATATGTTGGAAAATTTATTTTGAATCATGTCTCAATAAATTTGAAATTGTTTTCTTCTAAAAATAACCCATCCTTCCTTTCTCCTTCATCCTCTTTTTTTCCTTCTCTACTTTCTCCTACACAGATGTTTCCTGAGTGAATACCTATTTTCTTGCCCAGTCCTATATAATAGACACTGGAAATGCACAGGTGATGAAAGGTATCCATGTCCTCCAGGACTTCCCACATTATCTTGAGGCAGGAAGATATGAAAGGACAGTTATTATGTAGTAATTGCTCTATTGGTGCAATAGGCACACACGGGAACAGGGGATAACTCTGTCTTGCAGGATCAGGGAAGGCAGTAAAGATGACACCTGGGCCCGAGGGCGTGTTCATGTTTGAGACAGATAAATAAATTTAGTGCATTCTAGGCAAGAAGTGTAACACGTGAAAACATCTTGGAAGATCAGACAGAAAGACAAAATTAAGGAGCTACCAGTTCATTATAGCTGGAGTGGAAGGGTCAGTCGAGGAAGATGGAGATGGAACTGCCAGCAGATCAAGCTGGACAAGTACAGACCATGAAAGGCCTTGAGATTAGATCCCTTCCTGGGAATAATGAAGAGGCTACTCCAGGATAATGAACAAGGGGACAGTATTTTAGAAAACTCATGTTAGAACAAGGGGAATTGATGGGAAGAAACATGGAGCATATGAAACTTAATCCTAGACAACTTCACAGTTGGCCTTGACTACCGTCGGGATGAGAGATGATAAGGGTCTGTTTCAGTTCAGTGGCCGAAGTCATGGAGCAGCAAAGAAGTCTTTGAGAAATATAATAATAAAAATAAAAAAGCGAGAGGAGGAGGGAGGTAGTGAAGTAGTACTGAAGGGTGAAGTTAAGAATGTTCTCTAAATCCTACTAAATTTTAGTCTTATTAAAGGGAATTTGAAGTCTTGATGACAAGAGGCACTGTTTGTGCAATTTTATAATAAACATTTTATTATTACATTGCCAAAAACAAGTTCTAAGATTTCCTCAAAAATTTTAATTCAGGAAGGAACATAGCCAAGGTATTTTTTTATTATTAAGACATTAAATCTTATTAAAAGGAAAAAAAAGAGTTTAGAGTCAGTGGCATGTCTATGACAGGAAAATGAATTTAAAATTATAACTCTTCTCTATTGTCAGGAAATTTTCATTATGGTTTGTTGGACATGCACTTCATGGAAACTGAAGTGTTCATCCATATTGGTCCACCTTAGTATTCACAAGTTTGTCCTAGAGTTTAATCTGAAATGAATTTTCTCTTTGGCAGGATGAATCTTTAAAGCAGTTGCAGGTGGTTCACCAACCGTGGATCTTGCCAAGTGACACAGAAAGTGAAGGAGTGGAAGCAGAGCCAGAGAAACGTGAGTGGGCCATACTATTTATTGACAAATTGCTTTTAGCTAAAGGGCGGCTTCGATGGAGATATACCTCTTTCATAATATCAAATGTTGTCTGCAAAGAAATTCAGACTTGTTCAGGGAAAACATGCTAAGCTATACTTCAGGTATATGGATCTTGATTTAATGATGTCATAAGAGTTTGGCAAAGGATCATAAACTAACTTTCTGAAAAAAGTACAATACCTTAAAAGGAGAAATTAGTCATCCTGAAGACTAACATAATATTTTCATTTGGAATGTGAATCTTCTGTAAATACATGAAGTTAGATCAGTGATAACTTGTGATTACTTAAAAAATTCAGTGTGTTAGGATCAGTTCATTATTACATATGGAATTACAATTATTAGTTACATGAGTAAATGTACATAGAGTTGACACTTGAACAATGCAGTGGTTGTGTATAATTTTTGACTCCTCCAAAACTTAACAGCCTAGGGATGACCACAGTTCTTACTGATAGCATGAACAGTTGATTAACACATATTTTTTATGTTGTATGTATTAAAGATTGTATTTTTACAATAAAGTAAGCTAGAGAAGAGATGTTATTAAGAAAATCATAAAGGAGAGAAGATATTTTTACAGTATTTATTGGAAATAAACAGTATTTATTTTACAGTATTTATTGGGAAAAATGGTCTAAATGGACTGGCACAGTTCCAACCCATGTTGTTCAAGGGCTGACTATGTATAGACACTGTTCTAAGTTCACAGAACAAATTAGTATTATAGTACTTAAGACAGAATATATAGCTCTGGACTTAAATGGCAGTATTATAATAATAACAAAGAACAGATTACTATAATTTAGCGTGACTCAGTGCACGCTCTGCAGGACTTAGTATTGTTAGACATATGGGTTCATAGCATTCTAAATGAAAGGTTAATGTCTGAATTATATAGAGAAAACAACAATTTTTAAAATAGTAACTATCAAATTTACTTTTTTAATCAATTGTAGCTGGCACAGAAAAACAGGATTTTAAGTTATTGTAAGTGATAATGTAGCCTTTGTGATCATTGGTGTGAAGTGATTAATTAATAATTCTCTTGATAACTAATGTGTTACACAGATAGCATTATGATTCTACACCCTGAGTTTCCAGGAAATTCCTGTTCCAGGTTAAAGGCATTTAAAAAGCTCATGTGTTCAGCGAGGCACAGCCAGGGAAGGGACCTAGGAGTCTGAGTGCTCAGGTGAAAGGACGAAGCATAGAACCCAGGTGTCCATCAGGTGGCATATTCAGAAACATAGTGAGTAATGCAGTGACATTTGACAATTTCATGGGAGGGAATCAACACCCTCTGTAGAAAATAACTGAAGACTCAGAAAGCAAATATTTCTTTAAGGTGCTTTAAGCAAGTATAAAAATAAGAGGTTTTTTTTTGAAAACCTTTAATGCAAAAGAAATCCTAAGTAAAATGGCCAAGGAAAATAGTATCCCCCAAATTTGATAGAATTAATAGTAGCCCAGAGCTTTTTTGAAAGCAAATGATAGCACACTTACAAGCCCCACTCCCCCACTCTCCACACATTTAAATATACATGACTCTGATTCTAGAGTTGGACTTAATCATTTTTACCAAATTTCTTTGAGATCTTCATAAATTTTCTATTTAAAAAAAACCTTCAAATTAATTGTGTGTGTGTATTGTGTAAAGACAATATATGGGCTAGTGTTACTCTTGGCTGTTAGATTTAACACACAGGTGCCCAAAGTGGGCACCACTTACAGGTAAACAACATCCTTACAAGATGCACCGCATGTTTATTCTGTCAGAGTGCTAACATATGATGCACTAAAACTTAAAAGCATGAAAAGAATTAACCAAGCTAGTGTATTTAATCCAAGTTCAAATTTAAACTTACTTCCTTTTCCTTCAAATCCATATGTCTCCAATCAGCATTAAGTCTGGAAAACAGCTTAATAATGCAAAGGAAATAAAAATCCTCACAACTGGCTTTAACCCTTATCATCTACTCACACTGCTTTTCTGCATATACTTTCATGAGATTTTAATCATAATTTGTAATCATGTCCTATTCCGATAGGGTGCAAATTTTTTGAGAGAAGAAATCTGTTTTCTTTATCTTATTGAGGTACAAAATAAGACCTCAATAAATATAAAAGGAATGAATGAGTGCTTATACTCATATTTCTTTGGTACTCTCTAATTTGTTTATTAACAGTTGAAAATTTAAAACAAAATAAATAATAATTATGACAGAATAATTGTAAAGCTTAATTTTCGTTTAATTAAAATTTTAATATTGTGTTTTCAGGTTAGCCTAGGATTTTGCCATATGGTCTATCACTCAAAGAAGGCCATTCTTGAACTCTCCTAAACATAGATACCTTGAACCAAAGCTGGCTGATTTCAGCAATTATCACTTGGAGGCAACCCTTCACAGTGGGAAATCATTTGAAATGATATTAGGGTTTAAACATAATTAGTTAGTAATAGGAGCCATCTGAAAATGGAATGCTAGCTATCACTGTACCTAAGCTCATAGATAGCACTGACACACAAATACTTTTCAAGAGTGGCATCCAATATTCAGGGACTGGGACAGTGTAAGATGGTACCATGAAAGTAATGGCCTCTGTGCTGATACTGTATTCAATGCATGCGGTTTGTGGAACAGCTGGCAAGATACATCTAGGTCCTCTATTTTATTTTCTCAGTGACAAGGAATAAGTTATATGAATCTGTGTGAACCCAGCATCTAATTTAGAGTCTAGAAGCTTGCTTATTAGAAATTTGTGGTGAGGAAAAGGACAAGATTCATCATTCCACCATTAACACCTGTTTCTTAACTCAGCTTTCTATAAATTACACCTAGATAATGTTGCAGAATTTTCTAATTTCTTGGGACAAAATTATCATGGTGAAAAGTTTCCAGATAATTTCAGGATCTTTGTAGTGGTGCATATTTCTTATTGCACCATTTAAAAATAAGTCATAGGTCAAATAAGTTTTATTAAAGAGCAGATTTTAGGAAAAGTTGTCTTAAATAATTAAATGGGAAGCTTTAAAATTTTTAATTATAAACAATACAAGCAAAACCCTTAATTAAGAATATTTTTCTTTTAATACTGAAGTATCAATCACAAGTTCAAAAAATTATGTCAGGGTGTGCTTGTTTTTAATCTTTCAAATTAGGGTCCAAAGTCACTATGAAACTCAAATCACACATATTTGGATCTACTGGGGTACTTGTATGATATTCATAATTTTGGACTCCACTTTGGACCTATTAAATCAGAATCTTTGTGCATGGGACTTTGAATTCTGCATTTCTAATAAACTCTTCATGTGATCATTGCTTATTCTAAGATTGAGAATTACTAAAATGAAAAGTTCAATGAGTCTGTAAATTAACTTTGGATAGTGTTTTCTCGTTTGTCCATTGTAAAGTTAAATTTAACCTACCTTTCTATATTTTCTCTGGAAGCAACTCACTAATTCTAGCTTGCATTCAACAAGTATGTTATTCAGATGATCTGGCCTCTATAGTTTCTAAAAAAAAGTCATCATCTAATATTATTGAGGAATCTTTGTAGATGTTGTGTTGTTTTGTTTTGTTTTGTTCGACTGCTTTCAAGATTTTTCCCTGGTCTTTGTCTTTTGGTAAAGGGATATGCAATTGTGGATATCTTTGAGTTCAAAGTTTCCTGTGCTTCTTAGGTATAGTAAATTAATGTTTTCATCAGATGTGTGAAATTTTCAATCATTATTTCTTTAAATATTCTTTCTGCCCATTTTAATCTTACCTCTCCTTTTGGGACTCTTGTTTAATATGTTTTGGTACACTTAATGGTGTACCAAAAGGTCTCTGAGAAAGGTTTATTGTTCATTTTTTTAAAAGAATTCTCAGAAGTTCTTATGACTGGATTTCAACTGATTTAAGTTCTTTGATTCATTCTTATACCAGTTTAAATCTGATTTTGAGACCCTCTCATAAATTTTGCATTATAACTACAGATTTTTTATTTTCCCCTTAATATTTTATATGTTTTATTGATAGTCTCATTTGGTAGGAGTTCATTCTTATGCTTTTTAAAAATATTTTTGACATGATTTCTTTTAGTTCTTTGACTATATTTATAGTAGTTGATTAAAGTCTTTGTATCAAAGCAGTCTTTGATTTAAAGTCTATCATCTGAGCTTCCTCAAGGAGAATTTCAATTGACTGCTATTGTTCCTGTTTATGGGCCAATGTTGTTTTATGTTGGTTAGCATGTATAATATTATGATTTATAAAGCGTGTCACTTTTTTGTTTATTTAAATCTGAACATTTAATATAATATACTTTGGGAGCTCTGGAAATTGGACCATCTCACTTTCCCTGGCCCAGTTTGTTTTTGCTGCTGCTTGTTCTTATTATTGTTGCTACTTTTTTATTTAGTGACTTTCCTGAACTAATCTGTAAAGTCTATATTTCTTATTGTATGCCACCACTGAAGTCTTTGCTCAGTTAGCTAATGACTGGGCAAAGTATGGAGGATGCCATGACCACTCCAGTGGTGTACAACTATGGCACACAGAGCCCACAGGTCCACCAGAGGTGAGAGATACCAGCTTCTCAGGTCTTTTCTGATCAGATGCATAACAGCGCATCTCTGTGGCCTTCTAGATGCCCAGAAATACATCAGAGCTTTTGAAAGCCTTCTATGAACATCTCGTTTACCAGAATTTCTTTTAAACTTTTTTGGTAAACCTCTTCTTTGCTTCAGCTGGTATCACTACCTCAGGCAGCTGCTATGTAAAAACTATTGTCCCTGATTGCTTTTGACAAATTCATAGAGAACAGGTTTCTCACCATGTGAACTTTACTTCAGGTCAAATGAAAAAAGACATTCAAGTGAGGATTCTCCAGGCAGCTTCCATTTGGTCAGTTCTCTGGAAATGAGATAGCTGGGGGAACTTGGCACTGTTCTGCCCTCACAGATGCTA